ATGAGGTGTGCACAGAACATGCACTCGGGTTCTCCATGAGCCCTGCATGCCCTGTATCCCATACCCCATATCCCATACCCCATATCCGATACCCCATATCCCATACCCCATGTCCCATGCCCCATTACCCCATACCCCATATCCCATACTCCATACCCCATATCCCATACCCCATATCCCATACCCCATATCCCATACCCCATGCCCCATTACCCCATTACCCCATGCCCCATATCCCATACTCCATACCCCATGTCCCATGCCCCATTACCCTCCCATGCCCCATTACCCCATACCCCATATCCCATGCCCCATATCCCATACTCCATGTCCCAGTGGTGGCCGAGGCCTGGTCCCAGCCTGGCACTGCTGAGCCCTGTGGGGCTCTCTGCTCGCTCCAGGCCAGCGTGGCTGGACTGAGGCAAGCAGGGCAGGGTGTCCTGCAGCCAGCACTGCCCAGTTCCATCCATCAGCAGCCGTGGGACTTCCCAGGGAGCTCCTGGGAGCTCCCAGGATCCCAGAATGGATTGGTTTGGGAAGGCCCTTGGAGCTGCTCCCATTCCATCCCCTGCTCTGGGTAGGAGTCCCGGGTTGCAAGATGAGAAGCCACTTTGGTGCACTGGAACAGCAAAAGTCCACAGAAAATCCCCCAAAGCACAGATTCCTGTTTTGTCAGTGTAGCAGGAGGGTTTGGGGCTGCTGCAGAGGGAGGGATTGGGAATCCCTGAGGAGCAGCAGGAGCTGGGACACGGGTGGGTCACCCAAGCCCAGCTGCTTTCACTGCCTGCCCTTGTGGCTTCTCACTCTGCTGTGTGAAAGCTCTGACTTGTGGTGTGAAGCATCAGGAAGTCTCTGCACGGCAGGAAAAAACAATCTGAGCCTTCTGAGGCTGCTGCTGTGACAGAACCAGCCCAGTGAAAACCCCCTCCACCTGCAGAGGAAGGAGGGGACCTCTCTGGCCGAGGGGGTTTGGGGGTTTTGAGGGTACTGGGACCTGTGGGTGCTGCGTTTGAAGTGTTTGTTTTGTCATTTTACAAACTGGAGATCAGTAGGAAGCTGAGTGTGTGATTTCAGCAGCTGCAGCTGCTGCCCTGAGAGGGGGGGTCTGGCAGAAATTCAGATTTCCCTCGATGAGCAGCTCCTCGGCCTCGTGGCTGCCTCATGGCAGCAGAGCTGATGGGCCCTGCAGCGCCTTTGAAAAGCTCTGCAGTGTTTTTGAGGGGAAGTGACTCATTTCTGCATGTAAAATAAACAGTGTGCACTCATGGGATCCCAGACTGGGCTGGGGGGAACTCAGAGCCCACCCAGAGCCCCCCAGCCATGGCAGGGACACCTCCCACTGTCCCAGGAGCTCCCAATGTCCAGCCTGGCCTTGGGCACTGCCAGGGATCCAGGGGCAGCCCCAGCTGCTCTGGCAATTCCATCCCAGCCCCTGCCCACCCTGCCAGGGAACAATTCCTGCCCAAGATCCCATCTAATCCTGCCCTTGGTTGCTCTTTTCTTGATTTAAGGTGTGGTGGGAGCCTGTGGAGTTTGGGTGCTGCAGCAGTGTGTGACAGAGGTCTGAGGGCACAGATGGTGTGAGATACCTCACCACGTGCCAGACCTGCACTGACAGGCCAGGAAAGGATCCGTGGGACTGCAGAGTGAAAATTTCTCACGAATTAAGAGGAGGTTCCTTAGGGGCCCTCAAAACCCCTGAGGGATGAATGTTTAAGGGAGCTGTAAGGAATTTCCCACAGGTTTGCAAAGCCCCTTGTGGCCTGAGGCAGTGTGTGTGCTCTGAGGCCACTGCTCGAGAGCTGAGGCTGAGAAATTACTAACAATAATAAATTAATTAATAATTAATAAATTAATAACAATTAATAAAAATAAGGCCTGATTAATGCTTTGAGAGAAACACAGTGCCTTTGGCTGGGAGGGATGTTTAAAGTCATGCTGTTCCATGGGCAGGGACACCTTCCACTATCTCAGGTTGCTCCAACCTTATGGAATTGTCCACCTTGGACACTTCCAGGAGTGGGACAGCCACAGCTTCTCTTGGAAAAACTAAAGCTCAACTCATTATTTGGCATTTTGGACTTAGGGTTTAATGACACTTGGTGTGGAAATGAAAAAAAAAGCCAAACTTTTTAACATGACCCCAAATTCCCAAGGAAGCCTGGGCCGGAATTTGAGCGGAGTGCTTGATCTCCTGATCTCCCTGATGTAAAAATGAACAGACTGTGTGTGAGGAGACTCTGTTCTTCAGAGTGAAAACTTCCCTCTTGTGGTGTGGGGATTTTGTCAGGGTTCTTTGTCAGGCCAGGCTGGACGCTGATGTGTGAAGGCCCTTCCATTCCCTGGTTCTGTGGCTGCCATGGGGTGAGGGAATCACTCCAGAAAAGCCCACTGAGTGTTCCTGGGGCAGGAAAACCTTTCTCCCAGCCAGGACACTGAAGCTGCTGCTCCCTGGAGCTTGCAGGATGTGTCTGGGGTGATCCCTGGGCTGCTGGAGCCTCAGCCCTGTCCTCCAGAGGTTCTGCTCCTGCTGTTCCTCACAGTCTCCAGCTCCCCTCTCCTCCTCCTCCTCCCTTCTCCTCAGCCCTTTTTCCTCTCCACCGCCCCATTTCCCTCCTGGCTCTTCGCCCGTGGCTTGGCTGCCCTCCCTCCCTGCCCATTTTTGGCCCCAGCAGCTTCCTCCTGCAGTGTTCCAGCCCCAGCAGCTTCCTCCTCCTCCTCCTCCTCCTCCTTTTTCTGCCCTTCACACCCAGCTCTTCCCTCAGGCTTTGGCCAGATGCTGCTCCCCGTTCTCCTCCCTCTGTCCTGCCCAGAAAGCAGGCCCAGAGCTGGCAGGATGAAGAACCAGAGCAGAGCTGGTTCTCAGGGGCACCTGCTGTTCCTGAGGGGTTTTTTCTTCTCCAGGTGGCTCCTGAGGGGGTCTCAGGGTTAGCAGGAGGCAGATGGGTGGGACAAGGCCTCGGGGCCCGTAAATGTGAGCTGCAGAGTGAAACAGGTAGCTGCTGTGATCACCAGCAAAAAAAAAACCCTTGGAAGGGCTGGAAAACCTTCCAGGAAAAGGAATGGCCTGTGAGGAGGGGCTGAGGGAGCTGGGAAAGGGCTGGAGAATTCCTGAGGGAGCTGGGAAGGGGCTGGAGAATTCCTGAGGGAGCTGGGAAGGGGCTGGAGAATTCCAGGAGGGGCTGAGGAAGGGGCTGGAGCCCCAGGAGGGGCTGAG